CTTAATTTCCTCTTATGTTAACATTCCTGAATGAAGAAAGTGCTGGCTTTAATAGTTTTTATTTTGACCACGAGAATATTCAAAGCCTCGAACTATTGACAAATTTGCATCTGCATGCTTGTGAAGTTCACAACAGCTTTAAAGCATATAACCAATGGATTTTCCTAAAGTAATGAAGCTTTTTATTTATTTATTTTAAACCCCTCATTAAGCTACCAACACCAAACAACAGAAAGCTTCAATGCATGGCTTCACTGAAAATCCTGCAGTTGTTGCATTGGATAATCAGAAAAATTGGCAATTCATCCCCCTCGCTTTTAACGATGAAAGAGTGCAAGGCGAAATGTAAATGTATTTGACAACTGTTTTACGACAGTGATGTAAAGTATTCGACTTTTTTTTTTTTTTTTGGTCGAATTTCGCAGTTAGAAGTGAAAATAGCCTTTATCATTCACGTGACTTTCGTTTTTCGAGAAGCATATTTCTTAAATTTACCCCCACACGCTTACGGTGTTAAAATACAGGTGTTCCTTTTGCACCGAGCTTTGTTTACACATTTAGATTTTTAATACTTTTCACTTCATAATATGGTAGAATTTGAATCATTGTGGTGCAATTCTTTTTGCTTGCTTTGAACCTCAATACTTTGCAGTTATTGACGTGATTGTGCGACAAAATAAGTGTTTTGAGGCATTTTCAACATTTTATTTGAAAAAACACATACAAAAAGGGTCATATACAAGACGAGAAATTAAGAAAAGAAAATTTGGGTTAAGCTATGCAACTTTTTGCATCATCATTAGTAATAAATACAGTACAAAATCCACCAAAAGTGAATCTAATCTTTTTTTACGCAATATACACTTATCTAGTTATCATACATTATAATCACCAAGCTATTGCTTAAATATTATCAATACATATTTTTCTACTTGAGCTATAAAATAGTCATGTCAGAAAACATTGCGCAGTAACAGCACACAGCAGTGTCTTATACAAAGAGCCATTTCCCTTTCACTGGCAGGTTATTCGACTATTTTTTTATTTTTATGTCAGCAGCAGAAAAACATCAGAAATATTTATGGTAACATATGTATCCATTCTCATACGCATATTAAAACCTGAGAAAGACATGCATTACAGAGCTTGTGCTTTAGGATCTACGGTTCAGTCTGTTAGCGAAACATATACTACTATTGCTTATGTCCAAAATCTGCTGGAGAGATGGATCAAATCAAGAGACTTTAAGGCTAGACAGGCTAGAAACACAAATCATTAAATATAAAGCCATTGTTGTTGTTTTTTTGTCTATTTCGGCATAACAATTTCTAAGTGTGTAGAAGATAACGAGTATTGGTACATATCGTTTTGCATGGCAGGAAAAACACTTAATTCACCGGAAACAAGAGTTATCTGCCGTATCAGTCAACATTAGTGTTTTCTACTGTAAAACACAACACTGTATTGGCAGATTATTATTTGGGGGATCGAAGCTAAATAACCTGTGAAATATGACAAACGTTACACTAGAATGTACCACAACACGACCTGCATTCAGACATTTAAAGCCCCTCTTATGAAGTACCGATACGTAAAGAAAAGTAAAGGAAATCTGCTACTCATGGGAAAAGGAAGCATCACTTTAAATCCCGATTAAAAATACAGCATACAATGGCCGGCTGTAATCAAAAGTTAAAGGCAGATGGGCACAAGACAAGCAGCTATAATCAATCACAGTAAGCGCTGAACTCACTCCTCACTACTGAAAACACATTCGGCTCGGTTCAGAGCGACGAGACGAGCGGACGATGTTCGCAGGAGGCCAGCAAAGCCAAGAGTGCAAAAACAGAAGAGACATGCAAAACGATTCCAGTCCATTGAACAGTTTGTCACAGCTGAACGACTCTTTGAAATTGCATTAATGGAATGTAACCAAGAAAACTACAGCTACAGGGGGGGGGGGGGGGGCACAAATAAATAAACCGACCGATTACATTGCGATACTAGTTCAGAACTTAAATACGCACCCTAGTAGGTAAAGTTAGTCATAAATTATGATTGTTAAATACTTAAGGCATTTCGACGCACGATATAACGTGTAAACTATAAAACGCAGACGGACGATGAGAAAAGATCACGCTCTACACAGCGGACACTCACTATGGAAGCCCGTTTCCACCACTGAATATAAGGTAATTGCGACTTTTTATCTTACAATTCTGACTTTTTTTTTTCTCAGAATTGCGACTTTATATTTTGCAATTCTAAGAGCATAGTCTTTTTCCCCTCTTAAAATTGGACTTTATAATTCGCAATTGCGAGTTTATATCTCACAATTCTGAGAAAAAGTCAAGAATTGCGAGATAGAAACTCTCAATTGCAAGAAAAGTCAATTGCGAGATATAAACTCTTAATCGCGAGAAAAAGTCAGAATTGCGAGATACAAACTTGCAATTGCGAGAAAAAGTCAGAATTGCGAGATATAAACTCTCAATTGCAAGAAAAGTCAATTGCGAGATATAAACTCTTAATCGCGAGAAAAAGTCAGAATTGCGAGATACAAACTTGCAATTGCGAG